AAGTCGGGAGTGACTGCAAAATCAGGGGGAGCCAGGGAGAGCAGGAATGGTCCAGAAGACACATAGAGGGACCACTGGGCATGACTTAATGTGCCTGACGTGGGTAGTGACATCACCAAGGGCTGCCTGGTTCCCGCCTTGTGCACCACGTGGCCCAAAGATAGGCCCCCCAAAAGGCCCCACATTCATTCGGGAATGGTTTGCAGTTGCCAGGAAGGCATTCCCTCGAGCGAGGGCCAGCGTCCTGCTCCCGTTTGCTGAGCCTGCAGGTGTCCTTGGGTCAAATGACAGCTGCAGGGGTGGAGAGGGCCAGAGGCAGGAAGTGGTTGGAAGGACAGGGCCCAGACTTAATCCACCAGTTGCTCTGGCTTTGAAAGGAATACGGAGCCTGACCCCACTCCTCTCTTCTGAGTAAGATTACTGTATTCTTCCAGGCTAAGGGGAATATGTGCCCTTTGTGGCTGCTTTACAAATGACAAAAAATAAATGAAAGGGGAGAAATCACCTACAAGACCAATCTGAGATGAATTCTGAAAACATTTTGGAATATTTCCAGCCTTTTTTTTTCAATGACAACATATCCGTAAAAACATTGTTAGTGAAATTGTGAGGAGACCGTTCAATCAGCAACTTTCCACTGAGTGCCTGTTACGGGCAAGCACTGTTTTCAACGCTGGGGATAGAGCAGATGTAAAGTCCAGCAGTGAGCAGACAGAAGCCTCGTCCTTTGTGGGGTTCACCCTCTGCGCTTCCTGATTGGCATCGTCCCTACACTCATTAAACGGTTTTTAGAGACGCGGCCTGTCGTGACAGCTCACTTTTCCATCATGGGGTACACCAAAATGTATTTGCCATTCAGAAATTACTGAGTTGTCAGCTCATTTCTATTTTACCATAAGCGTAGACAGCTGCAATGAAAACCCATCTCCCCATCCCTCTCTCTCTGCCCACCTGTCTAAACTTTGTCGAAGCATGGAGCAGGTTCTTCCGCACAGCCTCAGAAAGACCCAGCCTTGCCACACATTGGCCTCACACTTGCAGCCTCCAGAACTGTGAAACACAACATGTCTGTTGTTAAGGCACACAGTTTGTGGTAATTTGCTACAGTGGTCCTAGAAAACTAATATACTTGTCCAGGCAAGAGAAATGAGGCATGGACCAGGCAGGAGGGCTGGGTCAAGAAGTGGCAGGAATCAGGAGTGAATGAGGAGGGAGGTGGGTACGCTGGAGGCAGGACTGATGGATTTGAGGCTGGAAGAGGAGAGATCCAAGAATATCACCCCGATTCCTGGTCTACAGACCGGTGGCACCATACTGTGAGTTTGAGAAAATCCGAAAAGAGTGGATTGGAGGTGGAGTGGACTTGTGATATCAATTTTGAATTTCATTGCATTTGAGATGTTAGATCCACCTAAGTGGAATGTCCAGGTCATGAGTGGATTTACAGTTCAGGAGCCCAGAAGAGAGTTTATGGTAGAAGAGGGAGATGTGAAAGGCAGATGGATGGGTAAGATTTCCCAGGGACCCAGGGTACACCGAGAAGAACCAGTCCAGACAAGAGCATAGTGAGCTCAACATCGAGGCTTTTACCATCTAACCGGAGAACAAAGCTCATGCACAAGACATTATAAAACCCACAAAAGTCATCTAACATCCTGAGACAGAAGTTCAGCTGTGAATCATTCATAAGCTCAGTTTTCTCTACTCCTGCCCAATAATAGTAAGTTCTCAAGGTTGTGAATTGCCCAGGCTGGTGACACAGACATCCACCCAGCAAAAGGGCACTTCTAGAAGGCAGAAATTGACCCAGTAAGAGCTGAGACCCAAACCAGAGTGTTTATCACACTGTGACCACATCTCATACCCATTCCTCCCTCCATCCAGGAAAGACCAGATCCTGAGTGAAGGTTGTGGTGAACCCAGAAAGGCAGAAAATTTGCAACAATGTATCATTGATTATTTATTTGTCTATTAACTGTGTTTCTCAGGAAGCCAGGAGGTGGCAAACCATGAGCACGAGTAAAATCCAGCCCACTGACTGTTTTTGGACAGCCTGTGAGATAAGAATGGTTTTAACATTTCTAAATGGCTGAAAACATCAAAAGATGAATACTTCGTGACATAATTCATTTCAGTATCCTCAGTAAAGGGAACACAGCCATGTTCATTTTCATTCATGTATATATTGTATATAGCAGATTTTGCACAAAATGGCAGAGATGCATAATTACAAAAAAGACCCTATAGCTCACAAAGCCTAAAGTATTTATTATCTGGTCTTTTGCTGAAAAGTTTGCTCACTACTGCATTAGATTATAAAGCTCAATAAAAAAAAGACACTACATTAGTTCAACACATCTCTAGGACCTAGCGCCACACTGAACACATGGCATGGTCAAAACCTCTTATGTAAACGCATGTAAAGGTGAGGCTTGCCCTATTTCCCTCCAGGCTTATAAATGGAGGATGCCCCAGGGGCTCAGGGAACCTATACCGTCACTGGTTCTAAACTTCTCTGCTAGCTGGATTGAGCGTGAAGCCCTTAACAGCCAAGATCATGACTTACGTATCTTCTCTTTTGTACAGTCTTACCCAGAGAAAGTGCACGCATAGACTCGAGTATTTGTGACCCCTGAAAATTCTTATGTTGAAATCCTAACCCCCAAAATGACAGGATTAGGAGGTGGGGCCTTTAGGAAGTGATGAGGTCATGAGAGTTGGGGCTGTCATGAATGGGGTTAGTGCCCTTATCAAAGAGGTCCCAGAAAGAACCCTTCCCCTTCCATCCTGTGAGGATGCAACAAGAAACCAGCCATCTATGAACCAGGACTTGGGCCCTCTCTGGACACCAAATTTGCTGCCACCATGATCCTGGACTTCCCAGCCTCCAGAACTGAGAAAAATAGGTTTGTTCTTTATAAGCCATCCATGGTGTTTTCTTACAGCAGTCTAGACGTGCTAAGCCAGTGTCAGTGAAAGCGCATGGGCTCGCCCGAGCATTCTGCAGTGAGTCCCGGCAAGCTCAAAGGACTTCACCATGGCCTGGAGCAAACAAAACGCTGTGCATCTCTTTGTTTTCATTCCATGATCTCCAGGAAACCTCCTGATTTCCTTTTGGTCAACATACCCAGTCTTCCCGTCCCTACAAAGAATTTCTTTTCTCTGCTCCCTTAGGGAATCACTAGCAACAATGGCTAACAACTACTCAGAGCTGGCTTGGTGTCAAGCATATTACAAACATTATCTGAGCATCAAAAGAGAAGTGAAGGGGCTCTGATTGTCTTGCTTCACTCACTGATGGGTGGACAAGATGGTTATAGCCCAGCACACTTCCTGCCAGCTTGGCATCCCAGCAAAGTGAATGCCATTCCTCACAGTCCCCGGGGAAAAGTTCCAGGTCAGTCTCTGGACGGCCCAGAGTCAAGGTCTCACCCTTGAACCAATCACTGTGGGCACGGCAGCAGAGTCAGAGTGACTGAGCAGCGCTGGGTCAGACACTAACCGGCTCCCCACAGACAGGAGGGCTCCTGAGGCGAGCGGCAGGGGCAGGAGTACCACACAGGAAAACCACAGAGGTCTGCAATCATGTGAATTACATTTATAAATACTGATAAGGCCGATTATACCTCAGGCATTTTCAATTAGGTAGGCCAATAAATTCTTTTTGTTTGAGTCAATTTGAGTTGAATACTCTGTTTGTTGTAGCTAAAAGAACAGTAACTGGTTTGTAACCAATGTTGCCTTTCTTTCCACCAGAATGTAGGCTCCATGAGGGCGGGTGCCACATTTGTTGTGTTCACTGCTGCAGCCCCTTCGCCCCAAACAGGGCCTGGTGCCACACGAGGCCCTCAGCAAATACTTGCTATGTTTGTGATTATCCCCAATCCCACCAGGGTCGTTCCCGCCCACACAGTGCTTTGTTCTGATTTTTAAAATCACCTCTGTAACCCCCAGATTCTAAGATATGACTCACACATAATGGGCTCTCAGAAAATACTGAGGAATGAGCAAAAAGGTCAATGTCTCTCCTGCCGGACTCTTAAGGAACAAGCAGGTAGAGGCCACGAACACTTTCACAGCAGTGATGTCTTCTGGATACAGTGTTCTCTGACCCAGGCCACCTCCCTCTGATCACTGACGGAATGACAGACTAAATGAGTACATGGTGAAGACCTAAACTGGTAATGTCACTCGTGCCTGCAATAGCTTCTGGACTGGAAATCAATGACACAGTGGTGTCTGCGGAGTTCACATTGCTAATTTTCTGTTTTTTTGCAGAGACTCCATCCAAGGGCAGGTTTTAACACATACAAGTCTTGCATCAACCCCCGGGGGAGGCGGCTTCAGGGCTTCCCGCAGTCCTCCCCATCCCCCGGCGATGCCAGATCAAGGTCGAGAGTCCTCCCAGGTTCCCCTTCAAGAGCTCTGAGCCCCTTAGCTACAGAGGCAGGCCCGTCCCGTTACCACGGAAACTGAGGCTGGAGTGGGGAAAGAGAAGAGGGCGGGCACTGGAATTTTCCAGATCAGGAGGCAGACCGCGCGTGGGCTCAAAATACCAGAGGGGCACACAGTCAGTCCTCAATAAATATTTTTTGGGTGACTTAATATGGGAATCTGGACAAGTGACCTCCTGTCTCTGAGCCTCTTTCCACATTTGTAAAAAGTAATAATTATCCTATTGATACGAGGTTTCAGTTAAGACATGTGAACAAAATCCTTAGCACAGGGCGGGGCCCCGTATAAACCAGTTTCTCAGGCTGGTCCTCACTTGGCCCATCAGTCGGCCTTCTTCCTAGTCCCGCATAAACCCCAGACACCGCTTCCCGCTTCCGCGGGCCTCTACGGGGACGGGATCATCGTCCCTCCCACCTTCCCGCGTCGCCTTCTCCTCCGGGTGCGGAGAAAACGGGAGGCCCGGCGCGCCCAGCGGGACATGCTATCGCTACACTGTTCGCGGTTTACCCGAAACTCAGATGCCCCGGGTTATCCTGTCCTCTCACCTTGGCAACCCTACTCCTCAAACGAGGTCGCCGTGACCCAGGACGGGCGGGGTTTACCAGCCCATCTCGCGGACGTTCTCTGCCCCGGGGCGGCAGGACTTCAGCCTCCTTCCGGGCGTCGCGGGGGAAATGCTCGCGGGGCGGGGGGTTCCTACCGGGCAGCGCCGTCCGGGCGCCGGCACGCGGCTCTCACCAGCCCCGCGCTCCGAGCTTCCGCTCGGGGCCAGAACCGTGGCTCTTTTCCCAGGACATGAAGAGACCGACTCAAACGTGGTCTACGGGGCTGCGAAGGCTGAAACCGGCGTTTAAGGGGCTGGGCCACTGCCCGGTCCGGATGCACAGCCGGCCCTGCCGTCGGCCGGGCTCCCTGAGCGCGCGCGCCTCGCCTCACCGCACGGGCCGTCTCCCAGGAGCCCTTGCGCAGGGGCCCACGCCGCGCGTGCGCACTAAGTGCGGACTCGCTGACAGGAATGCCTGTCGGCTGGGTCCCACCCCGTCGGGGCGCGACTTAGAGACCTGAGGCCGCCAGACCGAGGGAAATGGAGGTCGTGGTTCCGCTGCCTGTTCTTTTCAGAGGAGCGTTGGGCCTAGGGAGGGTATTCCGAGGCCCTGGCTTGGGCCGAAACCGGAGGGCCGGGTCGGGGCGCCTGCGCAGGGGGCCTGGCGCCCTGGTGCCATCTTGGGCCGTCGCGGCAGGCCGCCCGCCCCGCTCTCGGCGTCTCCTTCGGGCCCGCGACGCTGCAGTGCCAGCGCGACGCCCTGGTCGGGACCTGAGCTTCCCCTGCCCGCGGCGAATCTTCGGCATCTTCCAGATGGCAGTCCCGGCGTCGCCGTCAGGTCTGGCGCTGCACCCAGCCCGTCGGAAGTCGGGCTTCCCCGCGCCGCGGGGCCGCAGCTCAAGCCCGGGCCCGCCCCCTGCGCCGGCTCACACTGGTGTTTTCCGAGAACCTGGGAACTGCAGGGACTACCACTGACTGGAGCGCGAGAGGCGGCCTTCGCTGAGATCGGATGTGGGGACCCGCCCCCCTTGTCTTCGGAACCGCCTTATTGAGATGCCAGTCTGCATACGTCGAAGCTTACCCATTGTAAGTGCACAGCTTCGTTTTTTCTTAGCACGTTGGCGGAGTCGTGCGGCGGCCGCAGTCCGTTGACAGCGTTTCCAGCGGGTGCCCCAAAGTCCTGCAAGCCCGTTTGCCGTCGTGGTGGTTCGCAGCCCCAACCTACCGCTTTGTATCTCTTTGGGTTTCCCTTTTCTGGACGGTTTGTGAAAATGGAATTGTTGGGGCTGGCTCCTTAACACTTAGCCGAACGCTTTTGAGGTTCATCCATGTTGTAGTGTTTATCAGAGTTCCGTCTGGTCTCTTTTCCAAGGAAGCTTTTTTGGTTCAGAACTGCTCTGCTGGGAGTTTAAATTGGGAAGACTTAACTGTGGTCAGGCGCTGTAGGAAGTTGGACTTGGTTTTGCCAATATCTGTCCCTGGGTCGAGAATGTTTAATTGGGATTTTCAGTTCCATTACCATAGAATCACAGGGAGTCTATTAAGGATGCCGACCGTGCTTTCTGCCGGGCTGCTTTGGACCCGGGTCCTCTCACTTGCTAGTTGTGAGACTGGACAGCCGCTCAGCCTGTGTCTGTGGGGGGATAATTGTTCCTTGGTGATGAGTTATTGCGTGGAAGGCCTTAGAATAGTGCCCTGGCACAGTCTCCCTGAGAACATCGGCAATTATTAACTTTCAGGGATTCTGTTTTGCTGGAGAGAGGGTGATGGGTCAAGAGATGGATGCTCTTGCAACCCACTTGGCTGGGGTATAAAACTTGTTGAGAATCTTGTTATTTATGAATTTCTGGCACGTCATGACAGGCTCACCTTGTCTTAATGCGTGTCACTTTACTGCACTTTGCAGGTTCTGCCTTTTTTACAAATTGAAGATTTGTGGCAACCCTGCATGGAGCAGAGATGTCTGTTGTTTTTCCAATAGTATTTGCTCACTTTGTGTCTCTGTGTCACATTTGGGTAATTCTCAACAATAGTTCAAGCTTTTTCATTGTTATATTGGGTGTGGTGATCCAGTAATTTTGATGCTGAAAGCTCAGATGATGATTAGCATTTTTTAGCAATGAAATATTTTTCATTAAGATAAATACATCTTTTTTAAAGACATGATGCTGTTGTACACTTTATAGACTACACTGTAGTGTAAACATAACTTTTTATGAACTGGAAAACCAAAAAGTTCCTTTGACTTTCCTTATTGCGGTTATTTACTCTATTGTGGTCTGGAATCAAACCTACAGTATCTTCAAGGTATGTGTGTATCTGCTCCCTGGTAGTTGGTAGGAAGTTTATACTAGCCCTCCCCTACCTACCTCCCCAAGATTATTTCAATAGTTTTGGTACTCTGTTTCTTCAGGAAATTGTGCATTTCCTTAATATTTGCAGTTTTGTTAGGTAAAAGTCAAATAGGGTGGTAAGCATGTGGTCTCTGCAGGCAGAAACAGGGTTAAGGCCTGAGCTCTGACCTACTTTGGTGCCTTGGGCAATGTGCTTAACCTCCTGAAGCCCCTGTTTCACCCACAGAGCTCGGTGGCAGGGGCGCCTGACCTTCCTTGGCTGTCAAGGGGACTAACTGGAAATTTTTCACGTACCACAACACCTGGCAGCCTAGGGAAAACTCCTGTCAGCTGCTGCTGTTTTCATTACCTAGAGCTCTTTCCCATTCAAACGCTTTGAGGTTGTAAACCTCTGTTAACCTGTTAACTGAAAGGAACTGGGAAGCCCTCCCCTGGTTTCTAGGCCTGGGGACATGCTATGGAACAGAGAAATTATTTGCACCTTGAAAGTCAGAAGTTTATTCCTTCTCCAGTGACCCTTTAAAGTCATGTTTTTTCTTCTTTTTGGGGAGCACTTTTTATTTATTCCTCCATTTAATTAGGAGTTTTAAATTCAACACTAAAGAATGGGGGAGCAGGGGTCAGTAAACCTTTACTGTAAAGGATCAAATAGTTAATACTTCAGGTTTTGTGGAATATATGGTGTCTTGAAAATGACTCAACTCCCCTGTTGTAGCGTAAAAGCAACCATAAACAGTACTTAAACATGGTTGAGGCTGTGTACAGTACAACTTAATGGGCAGTGAAATTTGGATTTTATGTAACATTAGTGTGTCGTGAAATATTCTCTTGATCTTTTTTCAGCTGTTTATAAACACTTTTCAATTCAACCATTTTGTTTGTGGACTGCCCCAAAAAGGACATCAGGCTGGAGTTGGTCTGCAAGCTCTAGGTTGCCATGTAATTTCATGACAAAGTGACTAGTGGTTTCACCTGGAGTCAGGAAGATTTGGTTCTCATATGTATTTATTGGATGTATTTGGGCAAGTTACCCAGTGCGCTGAGCCTCATGTTCTTTACCTTGCAAGCAGGTGAAACCTAACAAACCTACCTCCTCAGGTGGTTAGGTTGAGCTCATAGCAGAGAAAGTTCGTGCAGTGTTGGTTGTCTAGCGGATCACAGGTGAGCTAGCTCACATTCTTTTCTGAGAGTTAGTAAAAATGCCGTCTCTCAGATGCTTGAGGGTGGAGCTAGATGACCTCCATTTAAATCCTAGCCACTTGTCAGCCATGTGGCTTTGGGTTGGTAGCCAGCCTCTCTGTGCCTCCCTTTCCTCGACCTCTAAAGTAGGGTTATCATCATGCCTACTTCAGATTGTCTTAAAGGGTAAATGAACTAAACTTTATAAAGTGCTTAGAAAAATACCCACACATATAAATTCTCATTATTAGCTGTTATTCACAGTAAGACATATCTGGGGTTGAGAACACCAGTGCTGTTGTTAAAATGAAGACTGTCTCTTTTCGATTTATAAAGCATAGGAATTGTTTGTTCCTTGCAAGTGTGAAGAAAGTTGCCTGTAAATGGCAAGGGCTCAGAGCACTTTTTGAAGAAAGCACTCCGTTGACATTTGCCAAGATTTTTAAAAATCTGCCTTCTTTTCCAGAATGATCCATCTCATTATGGCTTTCACATGTAATTGCCTAGGAATGTGCCGGGTAGTGGTTGAGAGCTCAGGCATCTGACAGATTGTGGTCTGACGCCTGACACTACCGCCTATGTGCATGTCCCTGGGACAGACAGGCCTCCTCTCATCTGTAAGACTTGGATCATAATCGTATCTGTTGCATAGAGTTGTTATGAGGATTGAACACGATCACATACAGCACTTGGTGCCGGGCCTTGCCCATTGTGAGAGTTTAACAAATGATAGCCATTACTTCTCTTATTCTCCAGGGCGCTGTTAAAATTAAGAACCATTTGAGATTGAAAACCATTTGCTAGGTTTTTAAAAGGACAGCCTTCCTCCCTCTTCTAGGTTTGGAATGCTTAGTAGCATGATAGGAATTATTTGTATTTAGGAGGTTGCCCTTGTGGACCCATTAGGCATAAATTTATGTTTTCTCAGAAAAGTGGGCCATTTCTTGGAGATTTTTACTGTATTTGCATAGGATTGTGTTTTGGAAAGTGGGAAACAGTGTGGACAGATAGCCCTAGGTTTGAATGCTGGGCCTGCAGATTTCTCATCTATAAAACAAGTACGTCTTCTGTGCCTGCAGATTTCTCATCTATAAAACAAGTAGATTAGGTCCAGTTCCATTAACATCATTGGAAGAATTCACTTAGATAAATATTTTTAACAACTTTATCTGGATACAATTCACCCATTTAAAGTGTACAATTCAGTGGTGTTTAGTTTATTCACAGAGTTGCGTAACCATCACCCCAAACATGACTACCACACTTTTAGGACATTTTCATTATCCTAAAAAGAAACCCTCAGTCTCCATTCCCCTTTCCCCAGCCCTAGGCAGCCATTCATCTGTTTTCTGTCTCTACAGATTTGCCTGTTCTGGACGTTTCATGTGGGCCTTTATTACTGGCTCCTCTTACTTAGCATGATGTTTTCAAAGTGCACCCATGCTATAGCCTGTGTCAGTACTTCATTCTCTTCTATTGTGGAGAGATTTGTTTATCCATCCATCAGCTGGTGGCCATTTGAGTCATTTCCACTTTTTGGCTATTATGATAATGCTGCTGTGAACATTCATGTACCAGTTTTTCTGTGGATGTAGGTTTTCATTTCACCTAGAAATGGAATTGCTGGGTCCTATGGTAACTCTGTTTAGCCTTTCAAGAACTGCCAGACTGTTTTCCAGGCACCTCCCAGACAGTTTTTTAAAGCACTTAACCCAGTTACTGACACAGAGCAAGTGCTCCTACAAGATAGCTATTCTGGTAACACATCTTCATTGTAAGAAATACGTTCTTGAAAGCTACTCTTCTAATTTACTTAAGTGAAT